CTCTAGGTCCTTGCACCGGACCAAATAAAAACTCCTTTGTTGATAGTCAAAATTTCAATCATCCAATCAAGATAAGCTTCGAGCATTCCTTTTTATCTATATAACACTTAGAGCCACCTAGTTATGAGATAACTATAATTTCCTAATTTTTTAATTATTAAATTTGAGGTACTAATAAATTTTTTAAAAAATAATAGATAATATTGTTGTGGGATTTGCAAGGTGTAAGCTAATTTGGGCTTTACCAAGTTAGTTTTATTAATTAATATTTTATTCAAAAATTATCCTTTGAGTATGCTATGGCTTAGTGTTGATTTATTAATTCTATATATTTTAAAATTTTCAGTGTTAAATTCTATTTTTTTATTATTTTTTCAAATTCAACCAAATCACAGCCTCTAACGCTACATTAATTTTGAAACGAAATAGAAAAATTAAAAAAAGAAAATAAACTGTCATATCATTCGAACCTTCTTATTTATATATTTTTTGTTCACCTAATTTAATTTTAATAATAATCATTTCATACAATTTTTTTTTTCATTAACAAATCTAATATTACTAAAAATATAATAATTATACCATTCAAATTTAATTTATTTACATATTAACACCCCATTAAATTAAAAAAAAAAACCTACTGTGAACTAAAATGCATTGGTTTGCTGAGCGGCTATATAAATCGTTATTCAAAATTGCCAGGTGAAGGTCGAAAAGACGAGTTCTTGGAGCGCAATGAGTTCAGCTTCGGAAACAGAGGAATGGCGGACGGCGGGCACGACGCCGGCAGCGAGGAGAAGAGTCAGGAGCCTAACGGCAAAGCCACCGCCGCCGTGGTCTCCGGCGCCGGACGCGGCACGGCGATGCCGCCAACGAGCGTGATGACTAGGCTGATACTAATAATGGTGTGGAGAAAGCTCATCCGCAACCCCAACACCTACTCCAGCCTCATCGGTGTCATCTGGTCGTTGGTCTCTTACAGGTAGGTAGCCATTTGTTTTCATCATTTCGTTGATTCTCCTCGTCCTTTTAATCTTCCATTGTTCTTTTTTTTTAAATAATAAATTGATCCGCAGATGGAATATTGAGATGCCTGTAATTGTTGCAAAGTCTATCTCGATACTTTCGGATGCCGGACTGGGAATGGCAATGTTCAGCCTGGGTAAGACTATAGTGCTCCCAAGCTGTTTGTACTTATTCCTCTTTGAAAAGTAATATGTCGGAAGAGGTAACTGGTAATGGCCATGCAGGGTTGTTTATGGCGTTGCAGCCAAGGATAATAGCATGTGGGAATAAAGTTGCAACTTTTGCTATGGGAGTGAGATTCCTCGCCGGCCCAGCTGTTATGGCGGCGGCCTCCATAGCCGTCGGCCTTCGCGGCGTTCTGCTCCACGTGGCCATTGTTCAGGTCAATCTTTTTTCTCTTTCTTTAGATCGATCCCCACCACCAAAAAATAAAATAAAAATGGCATGGTGATATTAATAGAGAGAAACAGAGAGCTTATTATTTTATATTGAATTTATTTATTTTAATTTTTAAATAAATTAGGCATGCTCTTACAAATTTTTGTGATGGGAAGTGTTTTTACTATGAAAATTATTAATGTGTGGTGATTTTAATAATAGTACCTTTTATTTTTTTTAAAATATTTATAATGTTCATAACAATTTAAAAAATATATATCATTCCCAAATTTAAAAGAAAATTCTATAAGAAGATGGTGAGACCTACAATATTTTATGGCCTATAATATTGACCATTAAAAAGAATTTTTTTAAAAAAAAGTTAAGAGATGCATAGATATGATGCTTAGGTGGATGAGCGACTTTAAACTTAGAGACAAAATGCAAAATGATTATATATGTGAAAATTTTTTAGTAGCTCTAGTGGTAGCTAAGGTTTGAGAGAGTCGTTTTAGATGATTTGGTCACATAAAATATCAGCCTTCTGTTCGTCCGATTTGGAGATGTGATATTAGATTGATTTATGTTACGAAATATAGAGGTAGTCCTAAAAAGACTTGATTAGAAATTATTAAAAATGACCTTGATTTATTAGATTTAAATGAGAATTTAACTCTTAATAGGATCAAATAGAGAAAAAATGATCCATGTAGCCAACCTCATATAGTGGGATAAAATTTTGATGTTGTTGTTAGAATTGTTTTTATTAAAATTTTGAATTTATTATTTTCGATTCAAATCATTCAAACTATGAATTTTTTACCCGTTTGGGATGACTTTCTTATTACTTCTTGAAGAAGCTTTTTGGTATAAAAATTTTATTTGTTGTACTAAAAAGCTGCTTTAA